AGGATCCTGTGAGTAACAGCCTGTCCTTGTCCGTCCCTCGTGGCAGTGGGCGAGCTGGAGATGGGCGACTGGCAGGGGGCGTGGGTCGCAAAAACCGGCTGCTACTATTACTGGAATACCCAGAGCAACGAGGTGACCTGGGAGCTGCCGCAGTACCTGGCGACGCAGGTCCAGGGCCTGCAGCACTACCAGCACAGGTGGGAGAGACCCCCAGCCCTGCCAGGGGAGGTGTGGGGATGTTGTCCCCGAGCCACCCTTCACTCCCTCTCCTCTTCCTCAGCAGCACCGTGGCAGGCGCTAACGGCAGCTTCGTAGCGGCTGCTGAGCTGTACCCCCAGGAGAAGGGGACCACCCCTGGCAGCGTCGGCCGTGGGGCCAGCCTGGCCAAGCGGGAGGTGAAGAAGGTCAGTCAAACGGGTCGAGCATTGGGTTCTGGTTGCCACGGGGCTTGTAGGCGCCCCTTTGGGCTTCCTCGGCAGCGGGTGGGTCTCTCCAATCCACTTGCAGCCCCTCCCCGTCGGCGTGGGGCTGCTTCCTCTGCGGGCTGCGGTCTCCTTCGCTGCTCGGGGAAGGTGCAGGGCGGGGGCGAGGGGGCAGGGAGCCGTGGCTGCTGCTGGAAAGCTCACGCGAGGCTCGACCTGCAGGAGGTGAACGAAGGCGTGCAGGCCCTCTCTAACAGCGAGGAGGAGAAGAAGGGGGTGGCTGCGGCCCTGCTGGCACCGCTCCTGCCCGATGTGGTGAAGGAGGAAGAGGAGCGCTGGAGGAGAAAGGTGATCTGCAAAGAGGAGGTTGAGCCACCCCCGGAAGAGGAGGCAAAAGCAGAAGAGGCGGCGGCTGCTCCCGAAGAGCCGGAGCCCAGCAGGGATCCCCTGGAAGACACGCTGCAGGAGGATCTGTGCAGCGTGGTGCAGTCTGGGGAGAGCGCTGAGGAAGAGGAGGAGCAAGACACCCTCGAGCTGGAGATGGTGCTGGAGAGAAAGAAGGTAAGAACGTTTTTGTTACGGAAATGAGGCCGCGGCTGCAGCCAAGAAATAGCTGGGAATAAACCGGGAGTAGCAGGCATTTGTGTCCTGCTGCCTTTGGGAGGGTGACCCTGCGTTTCCCGTGCTGCTCCTGTATGGATTTGGGCTCCGCATAGATCAGCCGCAGCTTCACGTGGATGCTCTATGCGCGAGTCAGCAGCCCTTGGCAAACTCTCGCTTCATTAACGTGGTGCCCTGATTAGATCCGCTGTTTGCTCTTCTTTCACGGGTGACTTGGAACCGCGGCTGCTCTTTGGGGGAGGCTCAGGTCCCTGAAGTGCCGTTTGCTGTCGTGTCTCTTGGCAGGCGGAGCTGCGTGCCTTGGAGGAAGGTGATGGCAGTGTTTCGGGCTCCAGCCCGCTCTCCGACGGGAGCCAGTCGGCCTCGCAGGATGCAACCCGCAGGCTGGCCTCTAAGCGAGGGAAATGGAAACTGTTTGTCGGAGCTGCCAGCCCCGAATCCGCCAGTCGAGGCTCCAGCAAAACGGGCCGGGAGAGCCCGGAAGCAGGAGAAGCAGGTAATTGGAAAGGGGTCCCCTGTCCCCGAGGATGTGCGGGGCGCCTGGAGCCCCACACGGTGCATAGAGGAGCTGGGACGGGCGGTGAGGTACGTGTGCCGGGCAGGGGACAGGCCCAGGGGGGTGGCTGTCACCGCTGTCACACACAGCCGAGCTCACGGGCCAGCAGCACGAGCCTCGCAGGCTCAGGGCAGCGTGGGGATAAGCTGACACTCTGCCGAGTTCTCTCCTTTATCCTGTAATTAAAGAAAATAACCAGGAGAGCGCCTGCAGTCAACACTGTATCAGGAAAATAAACAGGAGAGTGCCTATACTCCACACTTTATCAGGATAAGGAAGACAGAATTGTAATAACGGCGGCATCATGCCCCACCGCCTTCCGCTTTCCTCCCAACATTATAAATCCTGACCGTGTACACGGGGAACTGTTGCCTTCCTCTTTCCAAGTTGTGTTTCTAAGCTGTCCGGTAACAGTCGCCACGTTTCAGACAGGCGAGCTGTTCCCCGAGAGCCGCTGCAGCTCCGCACTTACTGGTGTGTATGAAACGTAAGGCAGGACCTCGCTGCGAGGAAGATCTGGTTCACGTAAGGGTTGTTTGATACCGGGTGTGCGTTGGATGTATCACTTGAGCGACAACAACCCCTCAGCAGAGCTTGTGTTCCTGTTAGCGCTCTGCTTCCCTGTGATACAGCCGCGGTCTTCCAGGGACTGTTGTCAAATATTATCTTAAGAGCAGTTTGGCAGATGTTGCAGAGCATCGTATAAACTTAATGCCTTGGGGAAATTGCGCGATTGTGGCTGTTAATGCTCCGCTACAGCCTGTGTTTCGCTGCCTGTTGCGGCTGTTACCTGTACCGACCCTCCTGTCCTTCCCAGACCCCTCCAGAGCTGCGCCGGCCGCAGCGTCAGAGAGAACAGCCCCGACTCCCAGATGTGCCAGTCCCTCCCCGGCACGAGGCTTTAAGCCAGCTGCCTGCCTCGTGGCGAAGAGCGGGGCAGCCCCTCTGGCACAGAAAGCCGAGAGAGACACAACTGCTTTTCCCAGAAAAAAAAACCCCACAACAGTACAAAAGAGCCCCGAGCCCAGAGCAGGCTTGAAATGGGAAAAGGTGCCCAACCCAAAGCGGGGTTGATGTGGCCCCGACGCGTGTCTGCTTCAGGCAGAGGCGTGAGCTGGATGGCAGCCCTGGCGTTAAGGTGGCAACGTTGTTTGTCCAGGGTGGCTTTTCGCGGGATGGTTTTGCTGGAGGGCTTTTCCTTGTGCCTCGCGGGCTTGTGAGCAGAATGTCCCTGGGGACGGCTCCTTCCAGCAGTGCTGGTTTCCCGCTTACCTGGGGAACAGGAAAGTGTTACTCTCAAATAACCTGTTTAAAGCTGAGCATCCTGCTGCCCTTGAGCGCCGGGGCACACCAGGTTGGTTTTTTTTCCAGGAGTCCCTTGAAAAACTTCCCTCCCTGGAATTTATCGCTTGGGCAGTGAATTAGTCACCGCTCTCCTGTGATGCGGCTCAGACAAAACCTTACGGTCTTGACAGCTTTTTGAGAACTCAATCAGTCTTTGATATTGTCTCAACTTATTTAATCACTGATACCTTTTTTCGACAAATTATTAAACCACCAGCGTTTAATGATTGCCTGCCTGGTGGTTAGCTCTCTTCACGCTTCCTTGAACCCCTGTGCTCCAGGCTGCTCCTCCTTCAGCCCCTGCGCTGCAGCAGCTGGAATTCTCCACTTCCCGTGCCGTCCTTCTGGAAGGACCCCCACCATCAAAACACAGAGGCAGTGACCCTCTCTCCTTTTTTAATTTCAGGCTCTTGTCGCCGTCTCCCGTTGGAAAGAGGCCCCGGTTCTTTCCCTGCCCTCTCCTGCAGCGGCTTTGGCTCCCTGGCACGGTGTCTCCAGCCGGCTGTTGGCAGCGCCGTGGCGGTGGTGGGAGAAGGGCTCACCTGTCGTTTCTTCTCCTGCAGCGGTGAGCAAGGCAGCAGCTGATGCAAATTCAGACAAAGAGACAGAGTCTGAGGAGCCCCAGGAGAAAGCAAAAGCACAAGGGGCACCAAAAATAGAAGAGGAGGAGCAGGACCTAAAGGTACGGAGATGCAGAGGTGTGTGTCGGTGAGATCTGTCCCAGCTCGCGTAAGGGAGGTTGGCTGGGTGCTCGGCAGCTCCCCCAGGCCCTGGCCACTTAGCTGTTCTCCCCGGGGCTCACCGTGCCGCCGCCAGCGTGGAGGGACGTGCTGCCTCTCTCAGCCACTTCTGCCCAGGGGACGCCACCAGCCAGCGGGGACACCTGAGCTTTGGGCTGTGGGTTTGGCCCCGGCTGGAGCGACCTTATCTGCCTCCCGCTGCCGGCGGGACGGCACCGTACCCCTGAAGCGCTAAACCTCAGATCCCAGCGCAGCTGCAAGAGCAGCTTGCCCTGGCCCTGTAAACGAGTGGCCGTGCAGGATTGGGCCAGCGTCTCTGCAGCCCAGTGTCCTGTCTCCAGCAGGAGCCAGCAGCAAAGGCTTAAAAGTGTTTTTTTTTTTTTTAAAAAATAAAATAAAGGGGATGTGGGGGGATAAAGACTGAGCCCTGGCTCTGGTCGTGAGAGAGCACAAACGCTTTTGTCTTGATTTTGTTTTCACCAATAACGATGTTACAGTCCTCTGGCACGTGCCCGCTCAGTCGTCCCGTTTCCAGGCTGAAGACTCTTCGTCCATAATCTCTCTGTGTCTGAAGTCTGCCAGTACCTGTCGCTCTGCCCTTCCCCCGCCATGACTTTTTGGAGCTGTTAGATGCAAACTGGGGAAGCCCTGGGGATTTCTGCAGCGTCCTGCTGATAGTTTTCTTTTCCGAGCCTTGGTTTGCTCTTTTTGGCTGCAGCTGAACAGTTCCCAGAGCCCCTTCCTGAGCCGTAGTAGTGCCACACGGAGCTACAGGCTCTGGGTGATGGTTACGCAGAGTGGTTAGGGAGATCTTTTCGATTTATCCTTTTGATTCCCCAGTCGCTCGTTACCCTGAGATCTCCTGCAGTGTTAAATTCGGCTCCTGAGTAATTTTGTTCTGTTAGCAAATGTCGCTTCCCTGTGCCAGGTGGTTTAAGGATGGGGAATCGCCAGCTCGTGGTAGAACCCCGGTGGAAGCCTGCAGCGAAAGCTGACCTCTGGTCTTGCCCTCATTTCCCATCGTTTAATCATTTTTTTTTCCAGTGTGAAAGGGAAGGGCTTCCTTACTGTCCTTGTGACAGATGTAGCATCTCCCGTAAAAGAACTCTTTAACAGAGTTTTGAGATGTGACGTTCCTGCCCGAAACCACTGAGCCCTCCCTCAGTATAGCATCTACGTGACGCTTGTCTGATTTTTTTGAATTTAATTTATTTTAAAAAAAAAAAAGCCCGCAGCAGGAGTGGGCTCGTTGGCTGCTGTGCCCCAGATGGCTGCCGAAAGCCTTTTAAGCTGTCACGTTTGCTGTCCCCTTTTCTCCTGGTACTGGCGGTGCTCTGTGACGGACTGTGTGCTGTAGCGTGGTGCTTTCCCATGCAGGAGCCAGCTGTTGGAGGAATCCGGTCTCCCCGGGTAATCGGTACCGCGTGCTTCATCGGTTTGGGGTAATCTCTCTTCTGCCGGCTCTCTGGTTTGCAGGAGATCCGCGTCCTCCGCTGCGAAGTCGCCCTCTGCTCTGGGATCTTCCCCGACTTCTCCGTAGCCACATTAACGCAGGAATTAATTTCCCTGCCTTGAGCTTCTCTAGCGCCGCTTGTCTGTCTGGCCCGTCCCCCTCTCTGGAGACAGACGCTGCGTTGGCGGCTTTGGGGACCTTCCAAAGCCTCTTCTGAAGAGCGAAGGAAAAAAGAAATTTTTAGAGCCCTCCTTAAAGCAATTGCGATGCCATTTGCAGGCGTCCGCCCCGTTTCTGCTCTTGATTGCTTTCTGGCTTATAGCTGCTCTCAAGCAGTGCCCTCAGTCAGGGACATTGACAACGGGGCATCCCCGTGTCCCCACGCAACACCCGAATTGGAGGTTTGACCCCTGCGGGACGCTGGGCTTGAGGAACGGTGGTTGCTGTGGGCTGGCCCGAGTTTTAACGTAGTTGTTGTCTCTGCTCAGGAGTAAATCCAGAGCTGTTACCCCTCTCCTGCGCTTTCCAGCTCGTTCCTCCGGAAAGCGGCGAGTTACAAAGTCTGAAATTATATCCTGCCCCGTTTCCTTTGGGAAATGGTTGAAGTATTGTATTTAACGCTTTCTGCCCTGGCGATTGCTCTGCTGTAACTCCAGAGCTGGCGCGCCAAAGCAGACCGAGCCCGGACCCTCCTTCGGCTGGTTGGGAGCGGTGACGGCGCTGAGACGCGCTGGGGGCTGTGGCTGGGAACGGGGAAGGGTCCGCACAAAGGAGTTGGGGTTCGCTGGCACCTCCCGCGGCTGCAGAGGAGGTCTCATCGTGCCGCCCCGCCCCCGTCCCTGGGGCGCAGGAGGTAGCGGGGCCGAAAGGAGGGAGTGACAGGCGCACGCCTTCAGGGTGGCGCATCCCAGTCCCGCCTGGCTGAGGGGCCGCGGGCGGTCCCGAGTCCTGTTTGCCGGGGAAGGCCTCGAGCCGCGGGGCCGCAGCCGACCGGTGACGCTACCCAAGGGCGGCTCTTTACTCTCCCCTTTCTCCCTGGCAGTTTCAGATCGGAGAGCTGGCAAATACTCTGACTAGTAAATTGGAGTTCCTGGGCATCAACAGACAATCTATCTCCAACTTCCACATGTTGCTGTTGCAGACAGAGGTAACCGAGCCTTCGCCCCTCGCTCCGGCCTTCTGTTCCGAAGCGGATCAAATACTGTCCGCCGCTCGAGCGCCGAGGGCCGGTGCTGCGTGAACCTCGTGGCCGCGGCGGCG